TCAGGCTGCTGAATGATTCCTACACACAAAAAATCGTATTATTTGAACGAAAAATGACCGTGGTGACCCAAGGTGGCCCAGCGACCCACCGGTGGCAGGGCCACCAAACTCCGTCGTCCTGATGCCCCACCCCTAGGAAGCCTAAGTTTAAAGTTTCAGGGTCAGGGATCAAACCGTCTAGGAGGAGAAGCGACTACGCACAGACACTTACGCTCATTAGTAAGGTAGATAAGTTTGCCATTGAGAATGGACATTAGCTCCTGTTGCTACTGGAGTAGAATAAACACTCCATCGCCGTCCGTACTACTCATCAAAACTATCAATACGTCGAACTCCACTTCCCCACTTCCATTTGTTCAGTCATTAGTGAGGTTGGTTCTCTCTTGCAAATGGTTTTCATGAGCTTTTATCAAATGGATCCTATTCCACAGAATCAATTCATTTACCAGTGTTTGGCAATAAGCATACGAAGTATGAATACCATCGGCAACGAACAACCAGAGCAATTAGTAAATTTGAAAGGAAGAGGACCTCGATGTGATCTCGAGGACTAAAAACATGAGAAGCTCATGAAAACACCAAAAGAGAATTACCGTTCCGCAGAACAAGACAAGCGGCGGCCTTCTTGACTAAATGTCATACGCCGTCTCCCTCTCCCCATGGCAACTTAGTTTTTGTTTGCAGTTCATATGAGCTCCGGAATTTCTGAAACTACTGAAGATATTTGAAATGTAAATACAGGTAAAATCTCGTTATAGCGAACCTGGAGGGACCTAAAAAAAAATTCGTTATACTGAAAAATTCGTTATATCGAGATTCACTTATTTTGCAATTTTTTTTTATAAAGGAAATAACTGAAAACGCTGGTATTCTTCAAGTCAAAAGGGAACCATTTTGAGCTATATTATTACTTTTTCCAGAATTTTCATTTTTGCTTCGAAGAATAAGTTCGTTATACTGATTTTTTTGCGCTTTTTTGATTCGTTATAATGGGAGTTTTTCAGCATGCAGTCTACCTGACTTCAGCTGGGACCGTAAAAAAAAAATTCGTTATACTGAAAATTTCGTTATAGCGGTTTTCGTTACAACGAGATTTTACCTGTATATCATTTTAAATCGTATTAGTTCCTCTTTCAAGTGCCGCAAACAGTAATTAAACATGTGCAGTGCATGCAGAGTATTTTAGGGTTGAAAACTGTCCACGTTTTTTCTTTTTCTCCACCCTGTAGGGTAAACATCCCAGTTTCTCGTTACGCTGAGACGAATCCATAGAAAGTGGACACCCTGTGCGCACACCGGAAAACACTAGTAATAGGGTCTCGTACGGGAAATTTTTTATAGAATGCTTTAAAACGGCCAGATTAACTAATTATGATGGATTTGGGCCTTATTGGTTCACAGCTGGAGACTGGCCAGAATGCAAAGTGCTTACTCTATATTGGATGCGCGTGAATATCTGTGTGAGTTCGCATTTCCACCTAGATCATATGACCTCCTGACCTTGAAACTTGCACTTTTGCTTCCTTAGGTGGAGCATCAAGACAAAGAAGTTTTATGACCCGGGGACTGATGGATCACATGTCCGCCTTTGGTCAACTGGGTCAATTTTTATTCTAAATATTTTTTCTTTGTTTTTAGGGGTTAAAAAGCCCCCTGAGTTTGCCACTGACCTCCATTTTTTTCATTGATATCCCTCTTCGAGATATAAAAGGTGAAAGGTCAACTTTTTTACAGCCGTTTTCACAGACGGGAACCTCATCCCTTGTTGATCAGATTATATTATTGACATGGATAAACGTAAATCACTAAAGTTTTGTTTCATCAAGAGGCACCAATTCTTCTCTACATGTCCATCCATCAAGTCTTGGCATTCTTGCCACTGGTCTATGTCTGCATTCGATGCGTTGTGCAACGTAGTCGGCGATATGAATTAAACTGCAGCATTAACTTGAGTTCTTTGATCCCACAAGTCACGAACCATGCTTCTGCAAACCTGCAACTTGATAAATCCTCGCAAAAATTTCATTATCAGTTTCAGCGATTGTGAAGCCCATAGCCCGCCCAAACCTTGGCCTATCCGCCGCTCAGGAACATTTTTTATATTTTCTGACACTGCCAGCAATATGCGTTATTTAGTTACCTGCCTACCTTTTGGCCATTACGGAACCAATCAATCACGGAAACTTAAAATTTAAAGGAAATGCATAGTTTTCTATATAAAATAAAAATAGATATGAACTTTTTTGAAAAACATTTCAGGATAAAGTACTCAGTATATTAAGTTTGTTGTCTATAGCCTACTGTCGCAGCATGTGTGGGTGTCACAACAATCCAGAAACACTATAATACACTCCAGAGACAGGAGACAGCTTGGTGTAATGACATTAGGAGTTGAGAAGCACATGGGATTCTGGAGAAGTGGATATGACGACGCTTAGAAATAAAGTTGACTCTTTGGACGACTATGAATAAAACTCCTGCGATATCTCAGCCCAAAAAACCCATTTCCATTAATAACCTACATCCAGAGCATGTAAATTAGAGATTGTTGCCGATTAATGCATCCATGTGTTCCCATACAGAAGGTATTAGGGAACGAGGACCTTGCAAATCCTTTACAGCAAATTCAGTCAGCAGCGGATCTTCTTTTGAAGCCGATTGTCCTCATTGGAGAAAAAAAATCCTGTGAGTTCTGCGTTTAATTTAATTTCCTTCCCCTTTCCATATGAAAACCTCATGAAAAAAAGTGCAACAGAACCTCCATTCCTTGAGCATGGAGGTTCTGTTGCACTTTTTATTCAGCCTCGCGTACCACCTCGAATCAATACCTGTATAACTTCCGCATGAAACACGCTTTCGTGAGTTGGTATATGTTGTGTGATACTAGAGGCCGGGATTCGTAATACCAAAAATTCCAAAGCTAGTAAGGACAAAATTGTGCATTTATTTATATTTTATCTCAGGCGGAATTAGAAGAAACGCATTTTAACTCGTTTGTCTCCATTTATCTGATTACTTTCAGGTATACTTTCATGTTACTAATTTTGGATGAAGTAAAACACTCGTATATTCACTTTACGCTGGGTGTCACTGATGTTTTTGCAACTCAGTTTTTGCTTGCTGTTCATATGAGCACCCGAATTTCTGAAACTGGTGAAGATATTTGACAGGTTAACTCACCATTTTAAAGCGCATTCATTCCTCTTTCAAATACCGCAAACCAAGTTAACGTATCTGCAGTGCCGGAAGTGTAGTGCTTTGTTGTAAACTGTCCGGTCTTTTGGCCTACCCTGTTCATATGAGCCGAAATTGCCGAAATTGGCCCACGTGATGTTAAAATTATTTTTTTTCATTTCGTCATGCGCCGAAGGTGCAACTATTACTGCTTCTTACCAACATTGATATCGCTCATTAAAAGAAATCTTAACCATCCAAACTAGATTCGGTGACACAAAAGTTATGTAATTATACTCCAGTGGCACCATAATGTAGCTATGGATTTTCACTTTCCATTTCCACACAGTACTAGCCATTTCCAAACGCAGCCGATATCTTGACTCAACACGCTCGGAATTGAAGACGACCGGCCATGACGTGATCAGTAGGTTGTAAGATTCATAATGATGAATGTTGTATATTTCATAGCGTGGGTGAATTAAACATTGAAAATTGGTCCTTTTCAAGATTTCGTCTCTCCCATGCATGTCACTGAACAGAAGTAAACGAGGAAACGGGAACAAGTGCCTGTTTTCCTCGCATGCCCATATTCTCCACCCCTCCTTTTTTATTCGATATCATGGATGACCAAATGGGTCACAAAATATTCAATATACCATTTTACAGGGACATTCATCCCAAAAGGAAGCCCGTGTGTGGTGGATGAAGGAGACGTGGCATGGTTTGGAATCCTTTTATTTGCCTATAATTCTCAAACTTTCAAAGTGCTTCCAGTTGTGCCTGATAGTAAGTCTCAGACTGCATTACTTCATTTATTCTTCCCTTCCATTACCCCTTAACCAGTATGACCTTGTATAGCTTCCAGATTCCAATTGCACAGAGAGGAAGGGTCTCAATGGCAGAAAGAGCTACAGAATTGGCAGCAAATGCTACAGAATGTGAAGAAAGAGCAGGAACAGTTGAAGGAGCAGCGGTTAGGGTTCCAGCTGGGGAAACAGGCGCTGCCTTGGGAGAATCGGTCACTGAAGCAGTTAGAGCATGAGAAAAATGAGTCCCTGCTGCAATTGCAGGGTGACCTGCAAGGCGTGCAAGAGGAAACTTCATTGTTAGAAGATGATGAGCGGATTTTAGAGCATCTTGCTGTACAGCAGGAACAGAGACTCGAGCATATTCTCGAGCAGGGGAACATGGTGAAGGGACCATGGATGATGATAGAAAACCTCCCTCAAATATATCGAAGTACCCACATCCCCTCAAACATAAGGAGATTCTCCTTTCAAGGAAAGGTCGATGTGGAATGGAGGAAGCACGTCGTTCCCATTCTCTGGGCCCTGGACAGGGCAATCATTGGGTTACCTCCCATTATTTCAGGTAATTGTGGAGGTTCATTCTTTACATTAAAAGCTCATAGGTTTAGGAGTTTACTTTCACGCCGCGGATACTGAATGTTTGCTTTAAGCAAAGAATAGATACCTGTATTTCGCCAACGACCGGGATGTTTCTTGCAGCCTTGCTAGGCATGCGTCTTGGCGACCGAACAATCAATTCAACCTAAGCCTAAACAAATTGATCAAGATCGTTTCCTCAGTCATAATATATAGTACATCTCAACTAGTTAAATTTATTAGAGAACATAATCAATACCCTTAGGGTAATCACACATGTGTACCCATGCAAATAAATCGAAGGGCAACATGTTTTGGAATTGCCACAGCCTCCATACATAATGCAAACATTCTGAAGAATAAAACGGTACTGGATCATTTTGCATCAACAAGCCAGTACCCGGTCACGTGACCAGGCATTGAAGATATTGGAAGGAACTGACGAAGCATGCGATCTCCATCCCAAGCAGCATGTTCACGTAAACAATATATACATTTTTTGCAAACAATGTAAAATTATTGCGATTAGTATGAAATGACATCGCATTTACGTAAAATTTACGTTCCTATGTTTACGTCACCGTGCGTGTATTTTACATAAACTAAACGGCACTCCATCTGACGTACATGATATCAAGTTTATGATAAATTAACATCGCACCATCTATATGAAACTTTAGCTGACCATCCTGCACTTGCAGTACCAAGATTCCTCACTAGATGGAGCCCTTGTTCCCTGTATCCTACAATTACGATTAAGTACTGGTTTTCCTGGTATAGTATCAGGTTTTCTTACCATCTTTCTTCCTTGTAATATGCAATCCATGAATATATATATGGAAAACATGAACATATTATATGTTTTATAATATCTCGTATTACTCAGGGAATAATTAAATGCTGATGCTAACCTTCTTATTACAGCAGTGCACGGGATTAGGGAAGAGTAGAATCCCAGCCCCGCAAGTACTAAATCTTCTCAATCCTAAAAGGAAGAGAGCTCATTTGAACATCTACTCCTCCTCCCGAGGTTCTGGTACGGTAAGCAGTAGGTCACTTTGGTACTCTTGAGTGCTGGTGAGGATGAGTACTTGTATACTCGTCCAACCACCCTAGAGTTCTGAAGAACGCAAAAGGAGTAAGAGATTCAGTATATCAATTTTCTTCAATGGTACTGATTGACTCTTTAAATGGGCATGAATGCCAGGGGGAAATTAACATAAATCTTAAGTAAAGTGAATGTAAACGTGCTGCTTGGAATGCAAACGGGAATGTCAATATTGCGTAAAATTTACGTTAATTGTATATCATCGTTTACGTATCACAGAGGTGACATTTTTGCAAACATGTTGCCATTTTCTTGACTGATTTTCGTAAAAATGATATAAAATGGACAAAAATGTATATTCATTTTATGTAAAATTAACATAAAAATGCTGATTGGGATGTATTCGTACCAGATTGCGATATCGCGATTAAAGCTGCTCATGTGCTAATTTTGCTAGTAGAATTTCGCATTTTATTAGAAATGAAGAAGTGATTCAATTAAACGGCAACAATTCAATGCAGACAACATTCAAAGTGAAATGTGAACCATTTCCCATTTGACCTTGTTTAGTGGAGGTTAGGAGTTTCAACTTGACGCATTAAAAAGATCGAACTCGTGAGAAAGCCACATACAGCTGGCCAAGGCTGAACACCGGCTTGGATGGGAAAATCCATATTCTATTGAAGGTTTGACCCTGTGCCTTATCGATGGTCATGGCGAAGGTCAGCCGAATCAGGAACTGGCGGCGCTTCAGAGTGAACGACAGGTTGGTGTCGGAAGGATCCAGGTTAGTCCTTGGTATGAGAACACGATCCTTCGCATCTGCAGTTAAGACTTCAGCAACGATGATGTTCATCATGCGGCGGACGATCATACGCGTTCCGTTGCATAGCCCTTGCTTGGTGGTGAGGTTGCAAAGGAGCATGATGACCGCTCCAGATTTCAGTTTCAACTTTTGAGGTGGCTTTCCGGATGGGGTCAGGCTGTTCAGTAACTTCATTGGATAATTGTTTTGCTCCTCGAGATCATCACATATGACAGAGTCGATACTGGTGTTGATTTTGTATTCCCCCGCTACTCGTGTTAGAACCTCCTCGTTCAAGTGCCTCTTAATTCCAGGGGCAAATGATGGCCTTTATTTTGTATTGAATCGAGGTGTTCGGGAGCGATGGTTTGGCAATAGGTATGCTCAAAAATGTTGTCATTGACCACGCATCGCTGAGATAGCACAACAGCGTTAACAGAGATCTTCTCAAAATCGGCAGGCGGCCTTATCCAAGAAACAACAGCCATTCTAAGAACTCCTGCTCCCGTTCCGCTCTCATGTTCTTTGATAGTTTCAAGATATTGAATAGTGGCCAAAGAGAGCTTCCTTTTCTGGCAAGCAGCAAGAATGGCGCATTTGTTGCCACTCCGACCGACGAGAATAATTCGTCTGCAGTTCCCACCAAAAAACAGCCCAAGCAGCATGTTTATGTTAATTTTAGGTAAACTGAATGTAATTTTTTGTCCATTTTATATATATTTTACGCAAACCATCATGAAGATAATGTCAACATGTTTCCATAAATGGCATCTCTGAAATACGTAAACGGTAATATAAAATTTACGTTAATTTTGAGCTAAATTCACATTCCCTTTTACATCCCCCAACAGCATGTTTACGTTCATTTTACGTACACTTGATGTTAATTTCCCCCTGGTATTCATACGTATTTAACGAGGCAATTCGTACTTTTGAAGGGAATTGGTATACTGTATTTCTCCCGTTCCTTTCCATACCTTGGAACTCAAGGTTACTTGGATGAGTCCACGAGTAATCAAGTACTCATCTCTCCAGCACTGAAGAGTACCAATATGACTTTCTAGTTCCTTCTCTCGTACCAGGACCTCGGATGAAGGAATAAGTGTTTAGAAGAGTTCTTTCCATTAAGGATAGGGAAGGTATAGTACTTGTGGAGCTGTGATTCTAATCTTCCCTAATACCGTGCACTGCTGTAATAACAAGCTTAGCTTCAGCATTTAATGATTCCCTGAACCATATATTATGGAAAATACGTAATAATTTCCTGCTTTCAATATATACATTAATGGATTGCATAATAAAAAGTGGAAGCATTGTGACAAAAGTGTGAGTCAGAACATAGTTGGAGCGCCGCGACTGCGAATGACTGTCGCAATTCTTCTGGGCATGGACTCCACCAACTTGGTGCACTCATCTGGGGTGATGGCCTCCCACACTTACCTGACTACGGTCTTGAGCTCTTCTTTGAAAGATGGTCGTAGCTGCTGTAGCCGTCGCTTCCTTTTCCCACATATTTTCCATGGAATTGAGGTCTGGGGAGATGGCTGGCCATTCCAACACCTCAATCCCGTGGTCAGCCAGCCATTAGTTGGTGGACTTGGATGCATGGGCAGGTGCAAGATCATGTTGGAAAAAGAAATCTTCACCTCCCATCAACGTTTCAGAAGAAGGGACCATGAAATATTCCAAAACATCTTGGTACACGGCGGTAGTCACGGTTGTGTTCAAGATGCACAGACTTCCAACACCTTGGGAGGACATGCAGCCCCACACC